TCCATCCACTTCAAATTTCTAAAAGCTTCACTAATGAAAAGGGTGGTTATTTAGGAAATGACTGAGACAGTTATTACAGTACAGTGAAGCTTAGCACCATTGTCACCAAATGTTGAAAAAGAAACAAGTTTTTCCTTTGAACAACTAGAATCACAGAAATGGTATTTCTTAAAATGTTCCATAAAAGCCAAACAATTTTTAACTGCTAGTCAAGAAAAATAGAAATAAGTGGACACGTTTATTTTTTTCTTCAAGGGATGATCACCCTAACATGTATTTGGAAGTGAAGCATTAGAAAATATTGATACCTAAGAATTAGTCTCTGGATGTACAAATTATGTAAGATACCGCATAATATTTTTAGATAACATTTGGATTTATGTACTACTTAATGCTGTCTTTTCTCCACTTACCTGAAGACTTAATCAACATTCAGAATCAGTCAGGAGTAAGTAGATAAGTAAACATGTTTATTGAAATACAAATGAATACTTACCCACACATACATGCACATGCACATATGCATGTGCATGCTTGTGTGTATGCGCGCACACACACCCACACACACTATTCATAGTCAAGTCTGCTTCGTGAAATCATCAAGAAAAAATATGATCTTCAGAATTACTCTAGTGGAAGATTTTGTAAAACATTAGGCAAGAACAATTGAGATTACTGAATCTGAAAAAGAGTTTATTTTGAAATGAATGATGCATTAATTAATTAACATCTCTTGCAATGACACAGTGCTAATTAAGCCTCAACTGATGATGTATTTTGACAGTTTGATTCATTTTCCACCTTTCTTTCCCTTGCTTAACAGCATTTCACATAAAAAAAAAACATGAAAAGGAAAATAAATTTGAGCAATTTAAGAAGAGGGGGGGTAAATCTTGTTATTGCCAAGCTTCTGGCTCTAAATTTAATGCACATTTTAGTCTCAGATTATTTGAGACTCATTCAATGTATACCTATTTAAAAATGCAGGGTAGGGGAACAGGTTCTCAACTGGTGTATGTCAGTTTAGAGCTTTGTACCAACTGAAAATTTGCCTCTGGTTGTCCCTGCTTTGAAGACTTGAATCCTCTTTAGTGATACCTCTCCAAAGATCTTTGCTCATATCCTTTACATGCATTTGGCTCTCTTTGTCCTTGAAAAGTCATCCTTAGAAGAGCTCACAACAACAAATATCTGTATGTATTAAACATGCCTATTCAATAAATATATGTGGCTAGGGGAGGGCTAGGGGGCATAGGGTGAATCTACCTGAATTAGAAATGGGAGAAGCAGGTCATTCAAAATAAGAGCCCCAGGGAGGTACAACATGCGGAAATTGCATTTATTAGAGACCTTCTTTAGATCTATCAGTGAGTTCATACTATGGAACAGATCGAAGAGCAGACGTTAAGAACCTCAAATACAGACTCTGCAAAGAAAAGCTCAAACAGCACATATTTTCTTAAGAACAAAAATATGACT